TAGCAAAATTAATGCTTAGGCTAGTAAAATCCCCGTTGATTTTTTTTTTTATAAAACTACTTACCTTTTGTTTCCTTCGCTTTCTTGGCTCCATAGAGAGAACGACCTTGTTTTCTCTCTTTAACTCCCTCTGCGTCACCACAACCACGAACAATATGATATTGCACTCCGGGTAAGTCTTGGGCACCGCCCCCACAGACCAGCACCGAGGAATATTCTTGGAGATTGTGCTTTTCACCAGGAATATAAACAGTAATTACTTTTTTATTTTTAAGACGAACCCGAGCAAAAGGCCGATTAGCTGAATTAGGTTTCATTGGTTTTAATACTCCTATTTTTTCGCATATTCCGGATTTTTGTGGATTATTAGCCCACGAATATTTTTTGTGATGGGAATTTCAGTTGGATTTTAAGGCTAGCAATTTGGCCTTTTTTTGTTTAGGCGTTCGGGGATTATTGACTAATTGATTAATAGTAGGCATTCAATTTGTATATATATTATTTTTGTCGAGAAAATATTCTAATTTATTTTACGGTCGAAATTTAGGTTTTTTTTTCTGTTAAGTGCCAGATAGCCGACGGCTATTAGAAAAATAACTATTACAATTGCGGTTAATGCAATTAGCAAAATACTTTCTTTTCCCAACCCGCCTTCTTGGTTAGAATCGTGAAGCGAGCGTTGCCGATTTAGTACTTGAAAAAGTTGCTTTCGTTCTTGATACAAATTGTCAAATTCCCGCCGGTTATCGTGGTTAACTTGATAGAGAGGTTTAGATTTCACATTTTGATAAGAGGCCTCTAGCGTTGCCAAATCAGGGGCACTTTGTAATAATGCTTTTAATCGGTTAAACTCGGCTGCTTGTTGAGGGTCAAGGGTGGGTTTTTGCTGGGGCTGGTTTTGATTGCGAGAACATTGAGGAGCATGGTGCGGGCTGACCCGAGAACATTCCGGACAAATATTTTCTTTACCATTAGTATGGTTGGAATTTTCATACTGGTCGCGGTCGTGGCTTTTGTCAACGCGGGGACTTAGTCCTTGATTTTTATCCAATCAATCCTCCAAACGCTCCATGGTAGAGTAAAAATTATCGTTGTGCTTATGGTCGCCAATGGTTGAATAGAGATAATGGTGGGCAAACTCATGAACTACAGCACCTCGCAACTGGTCCTCATCCTGGTAATTATTCAAAAAAGAAATAGTGTATTTGTAGGGAAAATAGGTGGTAGTGGTTTTTTCAGAACCGGGAACTTTTACTCCGTTTATTGTTTGCCACTCGGTATTGCTTTTGCTGCCCCCTCCTTTTCTCTCAGTGCGGCCCAGAACTCGAGAATTTCCCTTGCTCCCCAAATGGTTCTTAAAAACTATGCTGATATCTTTTTTGTGGAGAGACTCCTGGATAAACTCTTCAACCAGCAAGTAATAATATTTTTTGATTAACTGATTTTGTTGATTAATGGGCAGGCTCATGGTTCTCTAATATACTACTTTTCTTAAATTTATTTTCCGCTGAAAAGTTAAAAAGGTTCGGTTAATTGCGAACCAAAGTAAACCAAAAGCGGAAATTAATTATTAAAATAGTAGTATAATATTAATTTATTAAGAAAATAAAGATAAAAAACCTAAAAAATATAAGTATATGGTAAACACAACAAATCTCTCTCTCTCTAATTATTAACAATCTCTCTCATGAGTGCTAATTGAAGTGAAGAATTAGACAAATTAAAAGAGAGAGTAGAGGAATTAAAAAAGAAAGTAAGCAGCAATCCGGACAGTCTAAAAAAAACTGGGGAAAATATCGACAGCAATTTAGAGGAAATCAAAAAATATTTAGAAGCCAGTGAGGATATTATTAAACGAGGAGAGAATTTTGTATTAAAAAATAGTTATGTTAAGGAATTTTTTTGGTTTTATAGTTGTTTTTCTTATTTGGGCCTTAATATTAATAACCCCCATTTTGTTTATTATTTGGTTAATAACTAAAAATAAGAAAATTGGCAGAATAGTAAAGACTATATTTTTTTCTTTCTTTTTTTTGTAGTGTTAGTGGTGGTATTATTAGTTTGATTTTTGGTAGAAGCACTCAGGGCTCCTCTCTAAAAAGGGTAAAACGGTTAATCTTTCCCTATTGAAATTTCCACGCGTGAAAAAAAGTAAATAATTGACGTTCAAAATAATAAGTTAAGACAGTTTTTCTCTAAAATCTGGGGTTCCGGTTAACGAACAAGTGCCGTCAATATTTTTAGGAAAAGCAATTAATTCTTTTAAATTATTAGTATTTAATATTACCGCCAACAAACGGTCAATTCCTAAACCAATCCCGCCATGGGGGGGAGCTGCAAATTCTAATGCTCGCAAAAAATAACCGAAATTTTTTTCTCTTTTTTCCTGCTTATAACCTAAAATTCCTAAAACTTTTTCTTGTAAATCTCGTTGATAAATACGGATGCTACCGCTTAATAATTCCTCGCCATTACAAATTAAATCAAATGCTTCTCCGGTTACTTTTTCGGGCTTAATTTTATCATTTAATAAAGGTTTGATATATTTTTTTTTTTGGAATGGTGAAAGGGTGTCTAAAAGATTCATATTTTTTCGCTTCTTGATTATACTCAAAAATAGGTCAATCGGTTATTCATAAAAAATTTAATGCTTGGTCATTTTGGGGATTTTGGCGTAAATCGGGTTTATCAGTGCCGTATTTTTTTATTACTTGCCGATAAGTCAAAGTCGGAAAAGGGGTGGTTATTTGATAACCAAAAACTTTTTTCAAAACGATTTGGAGCAATTTTTCCACTAACTTTTTGATTTCTCGTTCGGAGGCAAAACTTAACTCTAAATCTAATTGAGAAAATTCAATTTGACGATTACTGCGAGCATCCTCATTGCGAAAACTTTTGTCAATTTGATAATGCTTGTCAAAACCGCTCATCATTAGCAATTGTTTGAAAATTTGGGGGGATTGGGGCAAAGTATAATAACGATTAGGGAGATTAGAGGGCACCACAAAACAGCGAGCCCCTTCGGGGGAACTTTGGGCTAGAATGGGCGTTTCAATGTCAAC